TTGGGTGTCCTTCATCCCAGCCTATCTGAGCACCAAGGGAAAATACATGGTGGCTGTGGAGGTCTTTTCCATTTTGGCTTCTACTGCAGGTTTACTGGGCTGCATCTTTTTCCCCAAATGCTACATTATGCTGTTGAGCCCACATCTAAACACAAAAGAGCATTTGACCAGAAGGATAGCTTAATAGTTAAATCCAACGTTCTATTATTCAGCCTTTCACCTGGTGACCAAAAGCATCCTTTGAGAAGAGCCCAAAAATCCTAGGTGGCAGCCAAAACCAAGCAACTGAAATCTTTCCTCTTTTTCAATGCTGTGCATGTATTATCCATGGAATACAGAAACAGGGTTTTAATAGCTCAGTAGCAATTGTTTGCTTGACATGTTTTGAAAGCACACACATACACCCTGCCACTGCTGATCATTAAATGTCATTGAAAGCACTCCATTCTTCCCTTACTAACATTGAAGTAAATTTTCTATTAAATCTATAGTGCTATGATTTTATTGATATATAACTCTTGGTGATAACTCTGTATAGTCATTAGGAAAGGGTGCCACTGAGGATTTATTTTGCAATATCTAAAGTTTTGTAAATATTTATACATTCATGGTTTAATTGAGTAACATTGTTGCAATGAAAGTTTTAGCATTTTGGGGAGATAGAGAGAAGAAGTGTCATATACGAAATGCACTGTCCTAATAGACATACTGGACCCATTTTCCTAGAACAGGAGATTTCCAGATATCAACTTTGCTCAGTAATATACAGTGAATTTTATATCAATTTTAAAATGATATTACTATATAACTGTATTTATTTATTAATTTAGGGGTGTTTTTTGCTGCTTCTATTTTTTTCAAAATGAATCTAGATGGAATTAAAATGAGGTGTGTACTGAATTATCCAATGCATATGATGGTGATAATAACATCATGATAAATCAATCTAACATTTTCTGTTGACCACACAAGTGTGGTGATCACACAGACACATCGACATATTTTTCTGAATAACAGCAGAGAGTACGTTTTCCATTCCCTTCCTCTAAGATTTTATCTGTTTCTATTAAGTTAAAATTAGAAAAAAAAGTTAAGAAATGAAAAGCATTGACAATGAGTAGTGATACTGAACAATGAACATTCAGTGACCCTCAAACCTGCAGTGGAGCCCCAGATTCAGCAACTTCATAGGCACGATATACATATCTATCTGTTAATAGACAAAGTGAAGATAAAGAGCACAGAAAGCAAAGTCACAGCCAGGAGATCAGGGAACATGCAATTTAGACATCCGGAGTGTTCAAGTCCACAGAAAAAACCTGTGTCTGTACATTGGTGAACCCAAA